GCCACATGGAGGCACCAGCCATCCATCCACTTCTTTTCGGGCGTGTGCAGCTCAGAGATGCTGCTTGGCACCGTCTTACACCGAGCTGTGCAAAGCTGAGGATGAGCATCCCTGGGCGCTGGCGCAGTCATTGTCTCAGCTGTACATGTCTTGCAAGCTCCTTTTCAAGCCCTTGTTGGCGTTCAACGCCTGGCCTGCCTGCAGCTGGTTCAGCTGGCCGTACAGGTCGTAAGTACGCTTGTGCGAGATCCTTGCGAAGCTCATCCCAACATCTGCCGGTACATTGTGCTTCTTGAGCATGTTGATCATTGAATGACGACCTGAATGTGATCTGATCTTTTCGGATCCATGGACTGGGAATGACTCCCTCAATTTCTTGATGGCGTGGCAAACAATGTCTTTCTTCACATGTGATGTGCCAGTACGATCAGGGAAGAGGTACTGTTGTCCCGTAGGCCATACCCAAGTGTCTTTGAATACCACATCGCCGCGGACCCCGCAACTCCTCTTGCGCTTGACCGTCTTGCCCTTCTTCTTCAAAGCTCGGAGTGTTGGCAAAATGGCGGTCATCAGCGTCTTGTTCACCTGTGGCAGGGATGCGTGCGATCACAACTCACCACTGCATGCAAGAAAAACATGAGCAATAGGCATGTTTTGTTGAGGAAATGCCACTCCTGCGGTTGACGTTTCAAGGCTGCTATAGTGACAGAACGCGCGCTCCATCTAAAGTCGCTGGCTTTGAGGCAAAGGACTTCGCTGATCCGGGCGCAAAGGATGTGGGTTAATGTAATGGCGACAAACATCCACGTGGTGCCAGTTTTGAGGATGTGCTGCCTCCACGCCGTCCACATGCTGCCTGATAGAACGGCCGCCTGACCTATATTTCTCGTCGTCTTCTTGCTCTTCTTCCTCTTCGACATGGCAACTCTGCAATATGTAAATCAAACTGCTTCAGCTGGGCTTGAGCCCGGACTCAGGATATAACATGGGACGTCGCTTTGCAACTGGGGGCATGCAGCAATTTGGCAGTTCTGAGTTTCTGGCATGTTGAATTCCAAGGGTCAGCTCATGGCAGAACAACCTTGTTTTTGCGCAGCGAATTCCCGGGACGTCGCCTTT